CATTTAGCCACCAGCAGGCTATATTCACTGTTGGGAGACAAATCCTTGAATCTTAGAAAGCGAGTGTGTCCCAGAACCCTGGATAAAGAGCTTGATTCCTGAAATGTAATGCAATCAGAGTAATTTGCTGCACTAATGAAAGGAAGGGAGAAAACCTTTATAAACATCTCACAACTGACAAAAATGAATTGACAAAATTTAATATCTATTCATGCCTTGAAAAAAATTTTCACCAAACTAAGAATAGAAAAGAAATTCCTCAATTACATAGAGGGCACTGATGAAAGAAAGGAAAAAAAAACCTTTTGGCAAGCATCATTCCTAACTGTAAAATACTGGAAGACTTATTGTAAAGACATCAGTTTTCCTCACTCATTTTACCTAATCACATTCAAATCCTTCAAGATTTTTAAGAAAAATTGATAAGCAACTTCTAAATTTTTCATATAAATATTGATTTAAGAATATCCAAGGAAATCTTTGAGATGGCCCACAATTCAGACATTTATGACCATATATCCAAAATTAATAGTTATAAAAATTAAAATAGCATGGTTTCTACATAGATAAACTGAGAAAAAAATGTAAGGCTCAAACCCTGAAACCTGCACATATAGTTCTTCTCTAATTTTTGACCAAATATATGCTGCAGTACAGCTGGGAAAGAGTGTTCTTTTCTATCATTGCTAGCAGACCAATTTGGCATCATAGGTTAAAATTTTTAATCATGTCTTGGATGTTACATAATATAGACAAATTAATTCCAGGTGGGTTAAAGAATTCAATATGAAAACTCACATACAAAGATTATTAAGATACAATTAAGGAGAATGTATTTAAATGAGGGCCGGCCAGATAGCTCAGCAGACTAAAGCATCTGCTTAGGCAGACACAGGGACAGGATTTTCGATCCCCAGCATGCCGTATCGTCCCTCCCCCCGGGGTGTGCTGAGAAGGCAATTGAGACCGGGCGTGGTGGCGCGTGCCCGTAATCCCAGTGCTTGAGAGGCTGAAAACAGGAGGATCACTATGAGTCTGATCTGTGTAGACCCTGTACTAAACACATAAAAAAGAATGTATTTAAATGATTAGATGTAAGAATGCTATTATAGTGAAAGATAAACAAAGTGAACAGATCATGAAATGTATAACGAAAAATACAGGTTCTTAAAACTTCTGTCACCAAATACCAGCAAGAAGAGAAAAAACTGATCAAAGAGATTCACAAAACTTTAAGTCAACAAGCCATATCCAGAATATTGAAGGACTATTAAAAGTTAGAAAGAGAGAAATAGCCCACTTTTTGTAATAGGAAAATATCTGAATTATCAATTCTCAAGACAGGATATCTAAATGGTAAAACAGCAACTAACTTTGGGAAATGCATGGAAAAACCACAATAAGAACCTGAGGGTTCATGTTAAATTTAGATTTGGTTTACATTTATTTTATTTAACTGAAAATTCCAAAAAGGCATGTGAGATGTGGTACTTATGGGGCAGAGGTACAGAAGACAAGGCACACTTACTCTGATTTATGACCAACCATATACTGCAATAAGGGTGGGAAAGGATGTTCTTTTCTATATAGGTTAGTGAGCCAATTGGGTATCATAAGTTAGAATTTTTATCTTGTTTCTGTTATTGGAAATAACAACATGGAAAGTTAATTCCAGATGTGTTGAAGAACTCAGTGTAAAAACTCATACATAAAGATTATTAGTTTGAGATTATAAATTGAGGTGACTTATGTGGATTGAGGTTGTAGATACAGTGAAACAAGACTGTAGGGTGATAATAAGTCAGCAGAATTTCACAGTTCTGAAGGCAATGCTCTATCCCACTGAGGAAATAAGAGTAATAATAGGAAACAGAAGAAGAAACTCAGTCTCCTGTGCTTTCTACAGAAAGGGATAGTTGTGTACCATAATTTGTGGACAGCAATGCCCATGACAGTGTTTGATATCAAAACTAGAACAAGAAACAAATCCTAATATCAGCTCATTGGACAGAAGGGTGCAAGTATATGAAATATAAAGTGTTTTAATAATGTAATAATTATAACCATTTTTTAAAATACCTACAATGAGATTCCACTACACACTGGCAGTACATAGCAGGACAGGATGTGGAGTAACTGAAGCTCTCCTAGCCCAGTGCAGAAATGTGAGTTGCTAGTTGGAAAACAATTGGCGGTACCTCTCAAAGCTGAGTTCATCCTTAGATACAGCAATTTCAGAATTTCAGTCTTAGACAGATATGTTCCTTGGAGAAAAGAAAGCACACACACACACACACACACACACACACACACACACACACACACATTTTTACAACAATATTCACAACTGTTCTATTCAAAATAGCCAGACCATGACTATTGTTCAAATGTCTATCAGTAGTGGAGTGGATAATAATGGGGGTCAATTCCTTTTTTATTAAGGTTGGTTTGTGATCTATAATAATTCTAAC